TTTTAAAATATGTGGCGTTCATGGCTCTCTCAGACAAAAAGGTTCCCGACCCCTGATCTAAGAGCAATTCCAGAAGAACATGGAGAAGATATCAGAGAAAAGATTGTTAAGTCTCTGTCTAAATTCCTGGATTGGGAGGAAGATGACAATGAGACATAGAATTATAAAGTTTATAGGATTAATACACATTTTGCAAAATTAAGAAATGTTCCAAGGGTTGTCCTTGTCCACTTTGTAAGGAAGACTAGAGATCACATTTTGGAGCAGCATTTTAATACTAGATTGATGATTGACAATATAGATGTAACCGTACTTAAGGAAATTCCAGTTAGAATATTATGTAAGACAAAAGAGTATTTTTTTCTGACAAACTTAAACAGAAGATGATTCCATTTAGATGGGATAAGTTGGAAGTGGTGATTTTTACTTTTAAACAGCAGAGATTCAGACTGAACTCTGTGCACAAAGGAAGAGATTTTTTGGGGGGAAATTTAAAGATGGAGGAAATACAAATGGAAGTGACAATGACAAATGTGACTAAACAAATGCCACAACAGGTACAAGACACTCAAGATGATTCTACGTTGGGTGCCACGGGTACTGACTTTTCTAAAAACTTGGCCTAATTATGGATTATAAATGCTTAATGTGGACTATAAATGGAATAAATGTTCCCCAAAAGAGAATTTTTAAAAATTATTTGAAAAAGTTAAAACAAGATGTGATTTGCTTACAAGCAGCACATATTAGAAAAAAGGATATAAAATATTTGAGTCACAAAAATCTGGGTGCAGAATTTATTTCAGCAGGAATTTAAAAAATCCTCAATTTTATCTTCAAAAATATAAATCCTCAATTACATCCAAAACTTATACTGACTGATGATCATGGCAGATATATTGTGATTTATGGTTTTGATGAATAGACAGGATAGACTATAGAAAGAAGAGAGTCATGATGTAACTTTAGAGAGAGAGGTTAAAATGTAATTGTACTTATAACTGCTGTGAAGAATATTGGAAGCTATTTCTTTATATCTTTATATCTTTCTTTATATTGTTCTATTTATTTCTTTTTTTTTATTGCACTTTTAGCTTTCTCTGTTATTTTTCTCTTTTTCATTTTCTCTGTTCTAATTTTGTTTTGTATTAATTCTTACTATTGCTCTTAAAACTTTTAATAAAATTATATACATATGTATATATAAAATAGAATCACAGGCCTTAAAGCTTCCTAAGAGAGCTGAAGATGGGTCAATCTAAAAGAATCTGGTCTTAAAACCCTGATATTCATGGTATCCCTGAACAATAAGGCACAAACTGGCCACAGAGAGTTCCAGAGGCAGCAGTCAGACACAGGGAGCAATAAAAAGTTATGAGGTTCATCATCCTTCCAGAAGCATGAAACTGAGCAACTTCAAGCCTTTGTAGAAGGTTCCATCAACTGCTATGGTCAGGTACAGAACTTAAAATTATGAGCTTCAGAGAGCAAAAAAAAGAAAGCTGGCTGGGTTTGGATATACAGACAGTCCCCTACTTGCAAACTTTCATGTTGTGAACTTTCACCAATATGAACAAGATGGACCCGAAGTCAGAACCTGAAGTCGGGCTGGAAGTTGGAACTGGAAGTCAGGAGAAGGCGGGAAAGGGTTAGTTTGCAGGACATTTGCATTTGAGGTTTGCACTGGAGTTGGTGTTCCCAGAAAGGGTTAGTTTACGCTGCGCGCTCCGTTGTCAGGTGAGGCAGGAGAGGGGGTGGCGGCAGAGGACAGGGGAAAGGGGGTGGAGGTCTCCTGCCTTGCCTGGCAATGGAGCAGGCTGAGTCCCACTGGCTCATCCTTCACCCAAGGAGCCACCGCCGCCTCTCCTGCCTCACCTGGCAACAGAGCGGCCCGCGGCCCACTGGCTCGTCCTTCATTCCCTTCTCCTCCACTACTACCCCTTCTCCTGCCTCACCTGGTGACGCATTGGCAGCAGAAGATAGGGCTCCTCTGCTCACACTGCTGCCCTGCCTCCTGCTCTTTTTTTTTTTAACTTTTTACTTGGTTGAACTTACGAACAAAACGGACTTACAAACAGCCTCTTGGAACATAACCTGTTCGTAAGTAGGGGACTGTCTGTAATGCTAAAACACAGGTTGCACAGAGTGAGTCTTCAGATGTTATGAAATTCAGCTCCCAGCACTACTGCTATGAATTGTAGAGCAGCATCCACGGGCCTTCCATTCTTCAGCCTAGCTGGCTTGTATATCTGAACTGACAAATAGCAGCCCAGAAGCAAAATCCCTAGGGATCAGAGCAAGCTTGGGGAACTCTACTCGTATGAGTCGTGAATTGTTGCCATTTCCAGTCTCTGAATTCTGGCTTAATTCTGCTGCCCAAACAGCTCTCAAGAGGTCTTGGAGCAAATGTTCATGCTGCTAAAAGACCCTCCCTCTGCCTGACAAGGACTCTTTGCCCACCTCTCTCTTCTCTCCAGACCACCTGCCCAACTATGCAGGAATCTAGTGAAGGGATCACTGGTCTGAATACATTAAACATACAGTTTTGCTCTTACTAAGCTCCACCTGTATTGGTCAACCAAAAAGCCTTCCTCTATCACTATCACCACTCACTTCCTACAATACTGTCCATACAATAAATCCAAAATATTTCTAAGACTCTTTATCTGCTTTCTCAGAATTGTATTTTTATAGTAAGCATTATTTTGTCTCAGTTGAAGGATAAGAACTTTGTCTGGGAAGGAAATGGCTAGCAAAGTTGCTTGTCTATGGCTGGGGGTTTACCAGAAGGCCAAAGGTAAACCTCTGAGGAAGTGGCAGCCCTCTGAACTCTTTCTGCAGCTGCTACAGCAAGAATGGGGCCAGGCCTTGCTGGGCTTCAGCGTAGCATGAAGTCTTTCTGCACAGCAGCCAGAAGCCCAAGGGAGAGACAAGGCGATAATAAACCAACATTACACAACAGTTTGTCAATATAGCTAGGAGGACCTTCCAATAATCTGTCACCAAGATTTGCTGGACTGCAATTCCTACCATGCAAAGCCGGCATGAGTTAACCATGCATTGTGTCTGCTGCCAATCCAACAGTTCCATTCATGAAAAAAAAATGTCATTAGAGAAACCAGAGTGATTTAATAGTGTTCAGTTCTATTAAATTCTATTAAAGTCTGAATCACTAATTAATGTAAAATTAACTGAGAATCTACTTAATAGGTATGGAAACACAAAAGACTGCTAGAATTCTACAACCTTCTAAGATTTTTTTAACCCTTTTCTTTCCCCAAGAAATGCTATTTACACTTAAGAATGATCCAATCAGCTATTAAGCTAAACTAACTTTAATCAGCCTCCAGGGAACTATCAGGTTCACAGGGGAGCAGAGATACACACCAATATGCAGAGCGATGGAGAGGCCAATGGCTGACCACAGTGAGTAACGTCCACCAACCCACTGCAAAGGGGAGGAAAGAGAAACAGATATTACCACATTTATCCTCGGATTGGGAATTAAAATGGAAGCTTGAGGAGACAAAGTCTAGGAGCAGCCCTTCTAGGCCCGGAGGATCAGGGTACCTCCAGCACAAAGAAGCGCCCTGCGGCCACCCTTCCCATTGCTTCCATCAAAGGAGAGTCAGGCCTGGCCTCTGTTGGCAATGGATAATTCTGCAAATGTTTGCTCTGATTCAAATCTGCAGAAATGCTTGTCCAAATGATAAATGGCCAGATAGCATCTGCCCTTCCCCAGAAAAAGCTATGTTGATTAGGCTTTGGCAGGAGTTCATCCTACCATGGATCAACTGCAGCACCCAATTTCATTCCCTCTAGAATCTATGGGAGAATACTTCTGAATCCCCAGTGGGGACATAAGGAGTGCATTTTTGGCACCCAACGTCAGTCATGTTCTGTACATGAGAAGAAGAAAGTCAGGAGGGGACACTTGATACGTTACTAAGATTAACAAGCAGGAAAGTAAGTATTGCAACTGACAAATACTTCCTGCCTTCCTCCAAAAGGCAGATTACTCAGGGCAAAGTTCCTGTGGATACACGAATGGAGCAGACAAGGCTTCCAATTTAAATGATTAGTAATTAAGATTACATTCTGGCCATCATATCACCAGAGCTTCCCAATCTTTACTGCCGAAGCCATTTTGCTCAGACCACTTGCAAGACTTGGGAAATTCAGGGTCGAGGTCTCCACCAAGATGTGACCTTTAGTGGCCCAGATAACAAGCTTCCACAAGCAAATGTCATGGCTTATAATAGCATCTTCGGACCAACCTGCGAGCAGCTAAGGCTCTTTTTTTACCCAGCAGCTGTCTAGGCCAAAATGGGGGCAACACCCTCCTGGACTGATCACTGAGCACGTGGCAGGACAGCTGAGGAGCAGGACGCTTCACCTGCTGCAACTGCGGCTGACCTGCCCTGGCATCAATGCTGCCACGGTGAGTCCTGTCAGCCTCTCGTGGGTGTTCAGCACCGCACAGCTGTCTGCCCAACATCTACTTCTGCTCCTGCAACAGAGGGGCCAGAGCCTAGGAGGTGGGGAGGCTGGCAAAGGTCTAAGTCAGCGTTCTCTGAATGCTGCTGGCAGAGGACACAATTCATCGGGAGGAAAGTGGTTTACATTCCAAAATGATCTGAAAAGGTCCGCGAGGGGGTAGAGAAGCCTTTTTCGACACCAGCATTTCAACACTCAGGACCACGCCACTGCGTGTGTGGAGGGGGCAGAACATACGCTAGAAGAGGGTGCTGGAGATGAGAAGAAAACACTGCCCAAATAACAGAGGTGACCTTGCACAGATTTTACTTACATCCCAGAACTCAAACATATTTTCAGTGTCAATTCCGAAGTCTTTGACTTTAGGCTAAAATACCAGCAGAAGAGAGAGAAATGGGTCATTGATGTGCTCACATACAGAGATCTGTAAGACTGAATTTCCCACCCCCACCCACAACCTCCAGGGCAGACATTCACAGATCCACTCCATTCAGTTATTTTCAGTAAAGCATCACACCTTAATTCGATCTATCAATCCTGGAGATTTAGGATCGCCAACCTCAAATATCAGATTAGTAAAATACTGGCTTGAAACTACAGATTTTAAAAATGGATATGCACACGCACACAAGCAATGTACTCACCCCATTGGTAGAGAGGGCGACGAAGTGCTTGGCCACTGCAGAAGGCTTTAATAAACAAAGCAAACCAGTTAAAGCAATATTACATGTTTTTGTTTAAATATAATTTTTATTTTACTTTTTTTATTTTATTTTATTTTACTTTACTTTTACTTTACTTTTTATTTTATTTTACTTTTTAAACAGGTAAAAGATATAGAAAAAAATACAGAAAATGAAGTTAAGAAAAAAAAATAAACAAAAAGTGCAATAATAAGGAAAGAAAAAGAAATATTTAAATGATCTTCCTTACAGCAGTTACAAACTTATTGTTACTCCTCCCCCATCAAGGATACATCATAGTTCACTTCTTCCCATATTTAGCCAATCATGTGCATTTTGGAGCATAGCCAACTGGCGACCTGCAAGGCTGCAAACTCATTGCTGGTAAGGGTGTGGGTGTGTACAGGCTGTCACTGGGGAATATCAGGGACACTTTGATAATCCTGCTCTTGTTCTGAATGCAGTCTGGAAGCCACTGCTTTATGCCTTTAGCTGGACAGCAACACATAAGGGTCCACTCTCCTAGATCGCTATATGCTACAGCTCCATCCCGAAACTCATTAATGGGTCCTCAATCTAGCATCCTCTGCACTTAAAAAAAATGGGCAATGTTTTGATTCCATCAGCTAACTAGCACTGCCAACAGAGAGGCTGATAGGATAAAGACAGCAGAGAAGGTACCGGAGAATGGAAGGAATAATTTGAGGAAGCCTATTCATAGACTAAGCATCCATCTCTGCAAAGGCCACCCTCTCTCTTAAATATACCTGGGCACAGTCCAAGAAAAAGCAGCCAAGTTGCAAAGGCATCTCATGTTCTCTTGCAGCATAATTGGCCCCACAATGCCCCAAGGCATTTAATAAAACAGCTTGGCTAAAATGTGGAAGCCAGGAGCCTCTTTCAGAAATGTGTGCTTCATCCCAAGCAAAATTCCCTTCCTTGCCAATTTCAATCTCACCAGTACTAATGTGGTTCCCTCATAAAGCAGAGTTTGAATCCATGGCTCAGATACAGCTTTAGCAACTATGGTTAAAAGTGGACAAGGGAGGGAATGGATGCACCCATGTTCTGTATCTGCACTAAGCTTTATGTCAAGAACTTCAGCTTGAATAGGAATTTAAGGGGGAGGGGCGTGTTGCTGGACTTTGAATGTAGACATCCTGTTAGGAAGCCAAAGTGCCAACAGTCCAAGTGAAACTGTTGAAAAATCCAAAAATTGTCCTCCTAAAGATAGACTTTCCCGAAGATAAAGAAGGCCATACCCACACACCTTTAGAGTAAAAACTGTTTCCTTGGCACCAGGCAGAAGTGTTATAGTGGTGGATCCTATCTTGTTCCCTACCTCTTTTATACTTAAGTAACCATTCACAGAAAGACAGAGCCAGGCAATCTTTTGCAGACAAATTATTGGATACTCCCAGGCAAATTGAACATCCAGAAAAGGCCGGATGATGTCCCCACTCCTCACAAGGTTCACGGGGTGTGGACCAAGCAATAGTCTTCTCAATGGCACACCCCTCTCTTTGGAAGGACAGATAGCCCTAATCCTACCAGCATGTGGAAACAAGTTAAAGCTATATTTTGGCTCTTAGCTGTTCCTGGCACCTTATTATGTTGTTTTACTTTTCTCATTGCTTTTTATATTATATACTTTACTTTCTTATTACCCACCCAGAGTTTGTTAGGACTGGGGTGGGATATAAATACTGGAAACGAACAAACTTCTACTTACGTCTTTAGCAGCATGAAGGAACCATTCTTTGGCAGTTTCAGCATTTGTGATTGTTTCTTGAGTGGTAAAAGTCTAGGAACCAGGAAAGAAGAAAGAGTTAGAAACTTGGCCAGGTCATCTACAGAGTGGTCGTGGCATCTAGTGCATGATAATCACAAGGCCAGGAAGAAGGTTCCTTCAACTGGTGCCTCTGCAGCCCTTTGAGGTTTTTGTGACAGAATCAGCTACACAGCAGCTGCAGAGGCCAATACTTAAAATCTGGGTAATCTGACACGCTGCAGAGGCAGGATGAAGAAATGCTTAGTTTTTCATCAGTTTAGCACTAACAGATGAAGGATGTTTGTGTACACGTCAAATAACTTAGATTCTTTCTAAACACTTCATTACCAAGGCCTATAATAAAGACAACCCAGATTCTACACAGAGAAAAGCCAAATTCTGTGCTCTGTATAAATCATAAAGCACACTGACAAGAAGTTCTTGCATTTTTCGTATTTCATCTAGGTTCTGTCAGTCACAGAAATGGCAAGAACAACAGAACTCCAAACTGTTATAAATCAATGGCTTCAGCGTCTTTAGCAATTCTGCTTCAACACATTCAAATACCTCTTTGCATGTTTTCAGTTCTTTTGACTTAATTTGACACTTTAACTGTGTTAATTGCAAACACACCTGTTTATTACTTGGAGAAGAAGGCAAGCCATTTTGGAACTCTTCGCACATTTGGGGTAAAAGCCACCAAGGCACTATTCGTGGAAAAATGTGTATAGTCCCTTTCTGTAACAACTGTTTTTAAAATTTTGGATTCTCTCAAGCTGGTGATTGCCTTCTCTCCTGTCTGCTCCAGCTTTAAGCATGGAACTTGTTATTTCTGAGTTCCAGACAATCTGACTTGCTCATTAACCAAACAAATGACTTATACCCTCTCCTTGTTTAGCAACTGCAATTCGTTCAGATAAAGTTCTCTTCTGGAAAGTCTGCTTCCGGTGAGGCTGGAGAACTGACATCTGCGTTTCATGGGGGCACTGTGGCTGAAAGGCAGCTGGATGTGGGATCCAGACTGCCCATAATTCTCTCTGGATAAAAGAGAGATCTTGAGATTACTCTCATGCATTCTGGACAGCTGGGGTATTTTTTAAATGAGTCGGCAGCAGAAACTGCTGTTTTTGCAGCCGCTTGCAATTAGCTGAGAGTTGTGGGTTTCATCATGCTGAGCCATTAATATAGCCTTTTTAAAGACTTAAAGTTCATCCAAACCTCACCTTTTTAATCACCTTGGAGTTTGTTTTGCTTAGTTTCATTAAGATTGAAAAACCTTCAGAGCTGCATGTTGGACATTTGCTGGGTGAGTGCTCTTCAATTTGTTTAAAAAGACAATCTTAATATGGATGAAAACATGAGTATATATGCTTAGGGCTCACACACACTTTGAATATTTTTCACCACATCAATAACCCATTAGTGGACTAGTCCTCAGCCCAAGAGCTGCTGCAGCAGGGCTTAACTTTGGGCTTGCCAGCAAATGCAGATATCGCCTTTACTCTACTTTTGAAAGAATGGGGAAAACTGTCCCTTCCCCAGGCCAGGACATACCTTGGAGGCAATGATGAAAAGCGCTGTCTCAGGATTCAGCTCCGCAAGAGTCTTGGCCATGTGAGTGCCATCGATGTTGGACACAAACCAAGCACGAGGGCCTCCCTTAGAATAAGGCTTCAGTGCTTCAGTCACCATGAGGGGCCCCTGGACGAAGAGGACAAGCCTTGAATATTGCTAAACCCCTGAACTCACCACTCCTGCAGAGACAGATGCTGCAGAGACCTCCTTACCAAGTCAGAACCACCAATGCCAATGTTGACCACATCAGTGATGGTTTTTCCAGTGTAGCCTTTCCACTCACCACTACGGACTTTCTGTAAGAAAGAAGACAACAGTCCTTTCAGGAAGCATGACTTGCCTCTTGGGGAGGACAAGTCAGGATCTGGACATCGGATTTCAGGTGCCTGGCTGACCACCAGCTGACATTTGATTTTTTTTAAACAAGATTTCAAAGAGGCACCTCTGGAACCTGAATTATGCACGAGTTCAGCAACTGAAGGAAATACTCTTTGCTTCCCACAGTGGAGGAGTGGATTGTGAAAATGTCAGAATTTGCAGAAATGGCAAAACTGACCTGTTTGGCCAGAGAACAAACAACTAAAACTTTTTTTAAAGACTGGAAACCTTATATGGACTTTTTGCTGAAAAAAGAAAACAATTAATTGATGATTTATGGATTTGAAGATTAAGAAAGATGTGGACTAAATGAAGGGGTGATGGGATTTATAAAATATTTAAGAGGGAGGGACAATAAGATAAGTAATTATTTGTTGAAAAGAAGGTCGGAAGTCATTTATATATTTCTTGATTAGGTTTCTTTTTCTTTTCCTGCATCTTTTTTGTTTTTGGGGGGGATTTGTCTTTTATTATATGAAAATTCTTTAATAAATATAAATAATTACTTTTTGCATAGCTTAAGAATAATGGCATTCTGCTCAAAAGTGCAGGGTATTATTGTGTAGATGCTTTGTGCAATCAGGCTACTGTGAGGAACTGACCCACCAAGAACGGAGGCAGCCAAGAACAGTGCAGCACAAGGTCCACACCGACTGGAACTGAGGGGAACTGCAGAGAGAAGAGGGAGTGGCCTTGAAGGACAGGAGGAAGAGCTGCTACCAAGGCAATGGTCAGATAAGTGGGGCTTGAGCCCAGGCCAAGAAAGTAGCGTGAGTAAACATCTCAGACAAGCCCCTCCCTAGTTCACACAAAAATAAAGCAGGGAAGGGGAAGCACATTCAGATTTGCAAGATTCTGTTACTATAGCTGTTCCAATAAAAGTAGTTCTGGATCTATAGTCATTGGTTTCCTATTCTGGTCTTCCTTGAAGGGCTGACATGAACTGAGCTCTGGATCTCACCTAACTTCAGGGGAACGCATGGCAACACATCCAACTTTTCCCATCCTCCTGTCCCGGCTGGCCAAGTAAAAACTGCCAAACCACCACTTTCCCCCTCTGCCCAGTCTGTATCACCTGGCATTTGGGTTCATGTTGTCTACCTGACAGGGGCAGTCGTGCTTATATCAGCAAGTCCCTGGCACAAACAAGCTCTGACCCAGAGCTAGTCTAGCCAAGCTGCAGGTTATGCCTATGGAGAGAACAAGCAAGGCCCTGCCTCCCGAATACTCCAAGTCTCTGCAGACAGAATTAGAGATCAACACTCCAGTTTCATCCATATACAGCCATGCTTAAATCTTGGTGGACAAATCTGCATACAACTTTTGGAGGAGATAGATGGGCACATGAAAAAATGTTTTTTAAAAATGCCCTGCTTGCGAGGCAACAGGAAATTCCTCCTGCTGTAGGGTTTGCCCTGAGCTGCCTCCTCCACATCCAAGCAACAGCTGGCTGCCTCAGTGCAACCATCCTGTGGAAGACAAGCAGGTCTGGGGGTGCCATGGCCAGAAAAGAAAACCGCCCAGGGACTCTGTGAGGACTATCTGGAGGTCTCTCAGCGAAGAAAGAAATTTTTAAAAAACAACCACCTTATTTTTATTTATTATATAAATGAATGCCTTATTGTTCTGATACTGGGGAGAGTTCAACCTGCTCATCTGACTCAACCTGCAAGACAGTCTGGTTCTTACAATTCCATAGTCCTAACTTTACCCCAAGTCTTCAGTCTTAGTTTCCTCAGTGATTTAGCCTGTTTTCTTATTCTGCCTCTTCTATGCCAGATACTTTTCCATGGGCCTTTCTCTTCATGATTCAATTCTCCCTCCCCAGCTTGTTCCAATGTATGCTTGTAGCCATAATTCCACAACAAACAAGGGTATCTTCCTGTTTACGCCTGAATCTATACCTCCACACTACATTCTCCTTAGACTACTATATTCACAGCATGATTTCTACCATCTCCCATAAAACTCACAATTTCATGAGGGTTATATGTAATACAGGAAGTCCTTGGTTAACAATGGCAATGGGGAGTGCCAAAATTGCCACTGCTAAGTGACATGGTTGTAAAGTGTGATGTCACATGACCGCATCACTTAGTGGCAACAATCCTGGCCATTCTCTTTGCTAACTGAATCCCACTGGTTCTTAGGCGAGGCCCCACCCCAATCCAAGCCATCCCCGGCCTGGTCCCACCCAGCCCCGAGCCTCGCTAAGGTGAGGGCTGTGGAGTCCTTGGTGCTGCGTTTGGTTGTTTGCTTGCAGACATTT